GGAAGAACGGTCCCAAAGCATGCCCTGGGAAGCCTTTTTCCAACGTGCCTGATACAGGTACTGAGTTGAACAAACTGTCTGGGGTACAAACTCCCATTACCTTGGGGAGGCACATAAAACTGGGGTCTTCTCCAAAGGCTCAGCCTGCCAAGCTGGCATTTGGAACAGGTCTCTGTGATTATGTCAGGCAGCCTCCTTCCAAGTTGCTTTCAAACCTCGTCCAGTAAAGGAGGAACTTCACACAACCTCATCATAGTATGGGTAGATATCCCAGAACCACATGAAAGTGCAATAAGCTAATAAAATGAATGAAATTGAAAAGACAAGAAAAGGAGTTGAAAAGGTCTAATTTTATGTTTCATAAATCAAACACAGTATCTCACTCATCTATATTTATTCAGTCATCACATTTCCACAGCATTGGAAAGGAAAACTAGGAAAGTATGAACTATGCTCAAATAGGAGATATTTTCTTGGAAAGAAAAACTCAATCCTTTGAACTTAGAAAATGGGTCTAGTTAGTTTAAAGGGAAAGAGGTGCACATAAACGTGTGTTAGCATCAGTGTGTGCTTTATTCTCAGAGAATGAAACAGTTACAGCAAAGAGCAAGAGCAGCAAGAGCTGGGATTGTGTGGCGTTACCAGTTTTACCAGATAAGGATTTGGGGACACGGGAAGCCAAGTGTTTCCCTTTGTCACGAAGAACCTGGGGCATGATCAAGTCACAGAGTGGCTGGCTGGAAGTTGATGCTATCTACAAGCCAGGCAGCGAAACACACCGCCACCACACACTCAAGGGGACAGGTCACATCCAGCCCTTCCCTAGATTTTTTTTTTCTTCTCCCATACAATACATCCCAACTGCATTCTCCCCTCTCTCCACTCTTCCCAGCCCCTCCCCAACCTCCCTTCGATTCCCTTCAGCAAAGAGCAGGCCTCCCAGGTATATCAACTGAACACAGCATAACAATAAGTCTAGGCACAAACCCTCATATTTTAAGACATTTGTAAACCATCTCACCTGCCTGTTACTATAAATGGTTAAGAAGAATCCTACCATCAAGTGTAACAAAGGTGGCTTCTCCTTACACTGTTTTGTCATGTCTGTGGCAAGACCATCTGAGTTTGACACACAAACCTCCTGGGGACGCAGCAGTCTATCAACAGGCAGATACTCTTTGTGGGGTTCAAAATATTTTAAGATGAATTATAAAAGAGACCTTTATGCTTCATTTCCACTTAAATGCCTGAGGGTTTCTAGTTGTGTAGAATTCTCTCTGGCCACCTTCAGTGGCAATAGCTTTGTAAGTGATTTGGTGGCCTTTGTTTTTAATGTTTAGTGGCACTTCATCCATGGCCATCTACAGTGCCAGAGTAAAAAGCCTGGCCCAGCAGAAAGCTAAAAACTATGACATTACCATTTGCCCCCCGGAAACCAGTAATTTGTTCTTCCAGGCGGTTTCAAAAGAGTAGTAGCTGTGCTTAGTCAGGGTACCTGGAGCAGTCTCCAATAAGGTGTCCATCAAACTTTCCTTCCAAGGCATGAGAAGGCCCTTTTGTAGGTGGGATCCACCAGGAGTCTTTGGTGTTCAGTAGCACAGCTGATCCCCTCAGTAGTTATGGAAGCCCTGGGCCATGCCCACAGGAGCTCCCTAAGCCTCAAGCAGACAATGGCAGCCTGAGTTCACTGCCCACGAGGCACAGCCTCTCAGAAACCACATGGCTGAATTGCTGGAGGCATGCATGGCGGCCATATCAACCACACTAAGGTGAAAAGTAGTTGCTTACTTTCTCCTGTTCTCATTTTCTAGGGGACCAAGTTGAACATTGATTAAGCATTTGCTCTTCTCCATCACAAAGACCTTGGGGCTAATAACTCTGCCAAGGAGGGTAGGGAGGTTCACCCGGGAAGTGACACAGCACAGAGAACCAGGGTTTGCTCAGTTAGAAATGAACACCGAGGGCAACTGCTACTGTTACGAGTAGAAGGTTTCCAAGGGGGGCTTTGTGCTCTCACCAGCACACAGGACTGCATGTCCCTGAGGACGACTCTTCTCTCCAAAATAACATCCCTGAAATCAATGAATCCTCAGCCTCAATATGTGCTAAGGACCAACAACCACCCTTCAAAGATGGGCAATTACAGAAATCTCACACTGAAGACCTCGACCTCTCAAAAGCGGATCTTCTCCAGTCTCCATTTCTTGGGCACACAGTGGGGGAGGGCGCGCACGCGCGCACACACACACACACACACACACACACACACACACACACACACTCGAACCACCCACCCAACATACACTCTTGGTAATCCCACCCCAAAAGTCTGGTAGAGGCACAGGCAAGCCACACCTAGCACGCCCCCTGCTGGCCTGGCAGGAGCTGACTCAGCCTTTATTCTATGGACCTAAATCATGGATGAATGACCTTAAAATCCAGAGGGACAGACAAAATGACAAGGTAAGGCAATTTGGGTTTCTTAGAAATGAAGGGCATAATACTCAACCTAAACACATTTCAAGTATGTTTTCAAAATGTTACAGGAAGTAAGTAACTAGTCCCTAAAAATCTAGAGGAAATAATTGCTGTTACATATTCGTGAGTATTACAATGAATAAATAAAAAAGTGAATATTTTGACAGGTCTACAGGTGGAAACAATTGATTAAAAAAGAGGCCACCATGGTTTTACAGACTCCATTTTCACATCCCAGAACGCTAAAACCACTCACCACCAAAGGTACTTTAAATACAGAAGAATCTTGGCACTATAGACAAGCACAAGGCAACCAACCTGTGTAAGAAAAACCACGGAAAAGTACTGCAGGAGACCAGTTTCACTACAGAGCTTGTTCACCCAGCATGCCGATGTGAATAAGTTTGACATTATCAAGAAATCAGAGACTATGGTATGCCCGCTTCTCACCCCCTGGTAGCTGTCCCTCTCTTCCTCCAGCAAGGAGGGGGACCTCAGAATTTACTTCCCAAGGGAACACCTGCTACCTCAAATCTAGGTATAGTTGAGATTAGTACCTGTCCAGACTCCATGCAACAATGCTTTACATTCACTACCACCCTGGACATCAAGGGCCCACAGTAATCACTACTTTCAGGGTTCAAAAGCTTCACATTTACAGCCAGATTCAAACCTTCCTGTGGCATATGGCATTAAATTCCTTGCAACCCCAATATGATCACACTAATAATTTAAGGCATCCTTATTTTAACCAATTAGGAGGTGTCATTAATTATTAAATACAAAAACATCAATACTTTTGTCTCTTATTAGATATCCTTTTGATACAACAGGCTTAAGTAGGTTTTCAGATTGTCTTGGGAACTAGCTTTTGTCTGTTCCCATAAGAGCAGATACTAATGGCACACTCAGATAATCAAATGACGGCTTGCTGCTGGCATTTGTAGAGGAATTTTCCCCCAGAACTTGGTGTGCTGTGTAGATGTCCAGCTTTCACATTCCCTGAGCGCTTTGGAGAGGTCTTGGGGTCTGGTAGGACACACCACTGCTGGAAGAGCCCTAGAGAAACCAGCACCCTTTGCGGTGGGGGGCGGACCTCTCTCAGGCACACCCTAGAAGGGGATGTTGGTGAAGGAGGAGCCCTGCAGATTCACCTGAAGCAATCAAGGCCTGCGGAGACTTAGGCCCCATTGTCTATCTTTGCCTGGACACCACATTAAATAAATCATTTAAAAAAAAAAAAGTGTTTCTCTCACAGGTCACTTTCATTTATGGAGATAAGGCAAGGTGCAAGCATGTAAGTGCTAGACACGACGGATCTGTGTGCTCTGGATCAGCTGATTTCCAGACCTGTAGGGACACATGTCCTTTCAGCCACTCTTAAATGGACTAATTTTCAAGCCAACAGAATAAAAACTGCACTTATATGAGTTTGGGGGTTTTGAGTGCAGAGAAGGCAGATCCATTCGATGGCTAAGATTCTCAAAGAGCTGCAGTAGCTGCACCGGTCGGGAGGAGGGTACACTTGAGCGGTTATGTCCAATGAAGGAAAGTTTTAGTTAATGATGACATCACTGACATCTCCCAAATTTAAAGGAGCACTTAAAGCACAGCAGATACAATTTTTCCCCTCCAGTGAGGAGATACTAGGGAAGGCCTCTGGGTTCAGAGCCAAATTGCATCAATCGTTTCGCGGCTGTCCAGCCAGACCCAGAGAAACCACCAGCGAGAGGTGCGCGGGGCCACGGTGACCCACGCAGCCATAGCCCCTGTGCAAGCCAGCGGCCTCGCGCGCCGCTCTAGACCGGCCCTGCCCTTCGGACCCCCGACGCGCCCCCCACGGACCGAGGGCCCAGTCCCCGCGCGCTTGTCATCACGTTCCAGTGCGGAACCGCGAAAAGGGCCAGGAGGCAGCTACCCGAGCCAACGGGAGCGCCGCGCCCTGCCCGCGCCGGGCTAAAGCCGG